AAAAGGTCGAGAAGGGAGAGGGTTGACATGTTGTGGGGTTGTTAACCAATGTCATAAAACAGTATGTGTACTACTGTTTCATGCGAAACTATTTGTTCTGTAAGCCTTCACCTGAAGTACAATAAAAAATTAAAAAAAAAAAAAAAGAGATTATAGCCTTGGACACCCTGTGGGGGCAGTTCTACTCTGTCCTATAGGGTCACTATGAGTCAGAATTGACTCGATAGCACACAACAACAGCACTAACAACAACAAAATGAGAATATGTGCTTTCTAAAATATTGCAAATTTGACATCAGTTAAGACTGTCACTGGGTTCCTGGAAAGAAATTCAGGGATAGGACTCCACTCCAGGGACTGGAGCTGGGGAAAGGAAAGAAGATGGGGGTGATGGTAAGAACAAGGCTGATAGAAGGACTGTGTTAGTTTCCAAAGGCTGCCATAACTGGATGACTTGTAAGAACAAAAGTTTATCGTCTTACAGTTCTGAAGGCTGGGAGTCTACGATCAGGGTATCAGCCATGTTGATTCCTTCTGAGGCTTTGAGGGAGAATCTGTTCCATGCCTCTCACCTAGAGTCTGGTAGATATAGGCATTCCTTGGCTTGCAGCTATAGTATCACATGGCATCCTTCCTCTGCCTCCCTGTCTCTGTATATCTTCTCCTCTCTTATAAGGCACAGTCATATAGGATTATGACCCACCCTACTCCAGTATGACCTTATGTTAACCTAACTGATAATATCTTCAAATGCCCTATTTCCAAACAGGGTTGCATTCACAGGTACAGGGGTAAGGACCTCAACATATCTTTTGGGGGGAAACAATTCAATCCATATCAGGGACTAAGGTAGTATTTCTCAACCGGGGCTATTTTTCTCCCCAGGGGACATTTGATAATGTCTGAAGACAGTTTTGGTTGTCACAACTAGGGGATAGGGTGCTAGTGGCCTCTAGTGGATAGAAGTCAGGGATGCTGCTAAACATTCTCCGATGCACAGGACAACTCAACCCAAAATGTCAGTAGTGTCAAGGTGGAGAAACCCTAGACTGTGGTAGTAAGCAGTTCCTAAGATAAGACCTCTGGGTCAGGTTTGGCCAAAAATTGAGATGTCACATCCCTCTAGGCCAGACAAAATGTCTGCTTCTTTAAACACAAAAGAAAAAAAATTCCAGGATACCAAGAGTCAGGCACGAGTCATAGCTTTTCACACATCCTTTATTTAATACTTTTTAAAGCCATGTCCAAACAGCATTCAAATATTACCCACAGTGCCTTTGACTCTGAGCCTACTGGTGGAAATCTTGAATCAAGTGGATGGTCATGAGCCCCAAAGCTAAGCAGGCCCCCTTAGTAATTGGCAATAACTTGTATGGGAGTTGTCCAAGACCTTATACCCAGGTCTCTGTGTGTTTGAGTGAGTTCTGACTCTTTTTGGTGCTTTCTGTGGGGAGAGACTGTGAGTCCATGGTGAAAGACGATTGCTACTTTATATTGCTTTATTTGGAATCCAAGAAACAGTTTTCTCCCTAATCTAAACAAAAAAGCTTGAAGCAGGGAATTGCATATGATACTTATGCTCACTCTGTGCAAATTTGCAGCTTGTCTTATAGGAAAGGATATAGAAATCTCGTACTACTTCACTGAAAACAAACATTCATAATCTATTCGTTTCTTTTGCTCTGGGAAAAGAAAAAAATTGTTATAGAGCATTTGCAGGGCTTCAAACAGATTTGAACCAGTTCAGTCATGGCCAATGAAGCAAAACTGGAGCAGACCTAAATTTTTACAATTTGAGTGAACCGGAACGATAATCAGATGGGAAAAATTACAGGTCAAAGCCCCAGAATGAGAGACTTAGAAGAGGCATAGAGAGTGTTTTCAGGAGCCTGATGTGTGAGACTGGATTATTGGCAGGACTGTGGAGACTGACACACATTCAAAGAGGCATGGTTGGCCACCATCTTTCAGCAGGACACCACGGTTTCCAATTCTGCTCAAAATCCAACAGGCAAGAGAGTTGATTGCTAGACAATGCGTACACTGCTCTTATTTTCTAAGAAGGAGATTAGGTTTCTAGCAGGGCTTTGACCCATAATTTTTGCCATTTCAGTTATCATTCCAGGTCACACAAATTGTAAAAATTTGGGACTGTTCTGGTTTTGCTTCCTCAGCCATGACGGAACTGGGAAGAGCCCTGAGCATTTGCCAGGGAGTTTCGAAATGAGGCATCCCACGGGGCTAGCTAGGGCTCCTTAAATATCTGCTGCTTTATCAAGGTCAGGGTTAGCATTAGGGAACATCACAGCACTGAGCCTTAAAGACTAAATCAAGGGTGAGACCCTAGCTATGAAGAAAGTCAGTCACAGAGGAGGAAAATGAGGTAGGCCCTGATAGGACCCGTCCATCAACATTTTTTATTAAACTCTCTTTTACCATGTGCAATAACCTGTAACAAATTTAGTCTTCATATAACCTACTGTTCTATGACAGCTTTCATTTGTATATTACTTTATACTTTTCAAAATATTTTTACACATTCCACTCTATAGATTTCCATAATACTCCTGTGAGATTGTTACTAGTGGTCGAGTTAATTCCAGCTCATGGTGATGCCATGTGTGTCAGAGTGAAACTGTGCCCCACTGAGTTTTCAGTGGCTGATTTTTTGGAAGTAGATTGACAAGTTTTTTTCCGAGGTACCTCTGGGTGGGCTCGAACCACCAACCTTTCCATTACCAGCCAAGCACACTAGCCATTTGTACCACCCAGGGGATATAGGGAGGTATTATATCATTTTACACACAACAACTGAGCAAAATAAGTAAGGCCATTTGGCTAATTAGTTTTTAGCAGAACTAAAACTCAAGTTTCTATGACTTATATACAAGTACATGTTTTCCATCATGCCACCTTACTTTCTCCTTCACCCCACGCCCCCACCACCACCCACATGGCTTCCCCAATTACAAAGCCTAAAAATCAACACCTTAACTTCAAAGCAAAACTAACCTTAAAAAACAATGAAACTCTTTACATAGCTCTTAATTACCCAGATATTTGAATTAAAAGAGTATAGAAGAGTATAAATTAGTAGTTAATATTTAAGAAGAGGTTTTAAAACATGTTTTATTATATTTATGATATTCTTCAACAGTATTAATACTATATATTTATTTACTATAAACCCTCATTCTTATATGGGGCTGTGAGACTAATAGAAGTAATAAGAGTGAACATCATAATCACAGCAACCTGATTATAAAGTGCTTCCACACAATTTCTTCTAGAAAACCTTTTACCAGCAGTCATATACAGTCAGATTCTTTCACATATGGAAGCCACAAGCACTCATAGTGATTAATTTATACTTTTTTCATTTG